GCATAAAGACTCTACCCTGGTTGAGATTTGGAGTTTTTCTCAAGGACGTTGGGATTTGGAGTTACATGTGAAGTTATCAAAATTGTAGCTTGGATCATTACAGACAGGTTAAGATATCCCTTTTGGACTTGGATAACAAAAGTTAAAATCTTGTACAATTTTAGGTTGACTTCACTTTGTCATATACTCATTTGTGAGAGATCTATTGTCAAATTAATACAGCCTTTCCATTTTTTTTATACATATTTCGCCGGGTCCTTACTTTTTATTTTGATGATTTAAACAATCTATCATTCTATCATTGCTATGTGAATGATTGTTTGCCGTTGATGTGCATAGAACACAGTCTCGTATTATGCATGTTTTGATAATTGCTTAGCGAGGATGACTCTCCTTGGCATTTAAGGTATGATAAACAAATAGATGATATACATTTTGGCAACAAACTTTTCCGTTCAATATTTACCCAAAAAAACAGAAGAACAGAGGAAAATCCTCAATAAATACAATACAAATCACTGTAGGAATATCAAAGAACGTTTGTTTGTTTTTTTTTTTTCTCAATATAAATACGGAAAATATAATTAAAGAACCACTAACGAAATTCACTCCACACACAATCACGCATAACCCAATCTCAATCTTCCGCTGCTAAGCTAAACGAATGTGAAGCTCCAAATAGCTGAAAAGGCATATATAATTAAGTGTAGCTGTCGCAGTCTCTGCAAACTTCATCTCTGTTTCTCAGCTGCACCATAACGCTTTGCTTTGTCTCTGCACAAATTGGATTAAAAAAAACTAGTTAGCTTACACTTTCAGTGAACAGGTTGTTGTTTTTTTAAATACAAGCAATAGTCTAAACTATAAGGGGATGAAGGTTTCTCACACACTACCAATAGTGCCATGGAGGTTCGAACTTGAGATCACTAGTCTGCAAGTTAAGACCCTTTTTCATTGGACTAGACCCCGTTGACTGGTGAACATGTTGTTTAGCACTATGTGCAAAAGGAAATGAGATGCAATGTCGAAGGACCCATGTACATGGTAGGCCACCAATTGTAAAGCCATGTTTCTGAAGCAACATGTTAATATACAGAGTTTATGCCAACACATGCCACCACATGACAGCACATTCCAAACTTTTATTTGGTCAATTCTTTCACCCAAAAATTCAAGAAGAAAAAAAGCAGGAAAACATGAATGAAGTCTCAGCCCTAAAACTGAATCCATATGTAGATTGGTATTTAGGAAAAAAAAAAAAAAGTACTAAAACAAAATCTTAAACAGTTGATGGGACAGTGTTTCGTTTGGAGTCTTCGGTGAGTTTAGGGTTGTTCATGAAGAGCACATTTAGTATATCTTGTTCTTCCCACTCAGATCGATAAAACGACCTTTTATCATACACTAAGCGCAATAGAGTTCACACCATAAACTAATCTAATGATAATTAGACTATGATCTTGATGTAAATTACCTTGAATTATCGATTGGATCGATGCAGAACTTCGAAAAGGCCACAGCAACTCTTCCATGAAGTTGGTTGCAGGGGGCGTCCAGTGACAGATACAATAGACTGCCAACACACGAAACCAAGAGAGGATCATTCAATTGAAAAGAATTTCATGTGAGCTAGAAAATGATAAACATGTAAAGAAACAGTTTAATCAACTTAATTACCGGATTTCTGGTGCTTTCAGGAATCCCATACTCTTCTCCAGCATCAGCTGATTCAACGGGAGGAGGAACCTGATCAGGCGACCGCTTCGACGATCCATCATCAACATTCTCACTAGATGCCGTGTAAGATGACTCTCCAATTGTCTCTTCTAAAACAGGAATTTTGGTTTCTTCAATTCCATTTGACACCACATCTACAACCTCACTCTTTTCTTCAACATCTGTTATAATTGGAGCAGGCTCATCATGCTCACTCAAAGAAGGCAATGCTGGTTCCTCAACCTCCTTGGACACCAAATCTGTTTCAGCTAGAGAAACCCCATTGCTCTCATCCAAATATGTCAATGTTTTTTCCTCGATCTGCTCTGACACCAAATCTGTTATGGCCGCAGAAGATTCATCGGTCCCATTGACAGATGCCAAAGCTTTCTCCTCTTCTTCCTTCACAGCTTCCAAATCATCAACAACAACTTGATCCAAATGGTTGGACAGAGATTCAACAGTCTCAACAACCACTACGGAAACTTCTTTCGTCTCCTCCACTTCCCCTGAATCCGCCACTTTAGCACTCTTCTCACCAGCTTCTGTCTCTTCATCCGAACTGCTACTACTCGAACTTGAATCATCACCGTCATGGGTTTTCTTTCCAGCCGCAGAATAATCATCAATAGCTATGTCCGTCACAGATTCAACCACCTTAATTTCAGCATCTGGTTGAACTTTCAGGGTCTCCTCTAAATTCCCGTTTGAAGAATCCGCCATTTGGTGAAGATCTGCAGAAACTTTCCGTCTCTCTTCTTCTTCTCCTCCTAATGAATATTGATCATCAGAATGGCTTTGACAAGTCACAGAAGCAGTCACACAACCACTCAATTCTTTGCCATCACAAAATTTCAAGTCATAAATTTCTCTCTCTCTCTCTCTCTCTCTCTCTCTCTCTCTCTCTCTCTCTCTCTCTCTCTCTCTCTCTCTCTCTCTCTCTCTCTCTCTCTCTCTCTCTCTCTCTCTCTCTCTCTCTCTCTCTCTCTCTCTCTCTCTCTCTCTCTCTCTCTCTCTCTCTCTCTCTCTCTCTCTCTCTCTCTCTCTCTCTCTCTCTCTCTCTCTCTCTCTCTCTCTCTCTCTCTCTCTCTCTCTCTCTCTCTCTCTCTCTCTCTCTCTCTCTCTCTCTCTCTCTCTCTCTCTCTCTCTCTCTCTCTCTCTCTCTCTCTCTCTCTCTCTCTCTCTCTCTCTCTCTCTCTCTCTCTCTCTCTCTCTCTCTCTCTCTCTCTCTATATATATATATTAGTTTAACATGGTACAGAGAGAACAAAAAAGGAATTAAGAAAGCATAAAGGAAATTACAGATGGATCAATAAGAAATAAAGTCAAACTATGTGGAAGCCAGTTTCCAATTAAGCAAATAACAAATAGGAATCCAATAAAGAGAAACAGTAAGAGAGAGAGAGAGAGAACCTTGGAGATGGAGTTGAAGGGTAGGTGGAGACTGGTGGATGGATTCTTTGGTATGCTTCATTTGTTTCTTGGCAGATTTTGATGTGGTTTTCTTTGGACGTGAATGTGAACGTGAAGGCATGGCCTGCTTGTTGAATGGTGGCTGTGAGTTTACAAAGAAATCATATATTCATATGGAATGGCAGATAGAGCAGAGAAAGAATGCCGTGAGTTTGATTTTTAACGTTTTTGAAATTGAAACGGTCAAGGAGGGAAATACAACGCTACATCTGCACATATTTGATGGATGGGGGGCCCTTAGGAGTTAAAAAGGCGGGAGCTTTACTAAACGGCTTCAATGCTTCAACCAAGAGTCACAAGAGTCATCACCAGTGTGTGACTTTGTGTTTCATTGGAGTGTTTTTTTGGCAGTGTGAAAAAGTTATATTCCTATACTTAAAACCATTTTTCTGTAATGGTTGATCGAGATAGATCTTTATTTGGAATTAAAGAGGCATTTTTATTTTTAAGATGTGAGAAGTATTTAGGTTTTTAATGAAATTTTATACATACTACGTTTATTTATTTATTTATGGGTTTTTAAATGCAATGGTTCATGAACTTATACCCGAGTTTCATTTTTATTCAACTAATTTTTGTGCCATTTTGGTTTTCCAACTCTCTCATTCGTTCCTATTCAGTCATTCCATCACATTATTTGTAAATTGAACCGTCAATTTGAAGAGTAAAATCGTCATTGTGGGTTATTTATAGGGGAGGTGAATCTATTGAGGTGAGGGGCCATCTCAAGATTGTGATACATGTGAGCTGTGAGGGACCATCTCCAAAATGTTAATGGAGACCTCTACTAGTTTTAAAGCTGTATAATTTAATGCTACTTTTAGTCCTTATAGTTTACCACTTTTACCACTATGGTCTCTGTAGTTTCAATTCGATCAATTTTGTCTTTGTAGTTTCAATTCCGAGCAATTCAAGGACAATCCCCAATTTTTTGCCTAATTACTTTAATGTGGAGGGGCATTTCGGTCCAATCATGCATCCCCTCCACAACTACTCCCCAGCCACCCAAGCAACCCTTATTGTAGCTTTTCTTATGCTTTCAAGTCTCAAGCCCCTACTTTATCATGGGTTCATGAGGAGAGGTTTTAGGCAATGCATGGAATTAGTTTTGGAGTTTGATGAGAGAGCGATAATGAGGGGAAAAGGTGGTTGTGGAGGGAGGGTATAGGGTGATTGTGGAGGTGGTTGGGTCGTGACTATAGAATAGGGAGTGGGTTGAGTTAGGAGGAAGAAGTTGGGTAAGGAGGGAGAGGGGGGATGGGAGAAGGCAGTTGGGGAGGGGGTGCTAGGTGTTTATGGGGGTGGTTGTGGAGGGGTTGTAAGTTGGACCGAAATGCCCCTCCATATTAGAGTAATTTGACAAAAAAACGGGAATTGTCCTTGAATTGCTCGGAATTGAAACTACATGGACAAAATTGATCAAATTGAAACTACAAGGACCATAATTATGAAAATGATAAACTACAGGGACCAAAAATGATTTTTTTCCCTAATTTAAATCTATTTCTACCCCATAACTTACAAGTTACAAGCCTTCCAACATTATTGGCATTACAAACCCTACAACGTGCCTGCCAATGCCATTGCCATGATTGTCTTTTGTGTTGAAACCACGCCCAAAGTCTCTAGCCCAATTCAATGTGGGCCCATAACAAACCCTAGTTAGCCCAATTTTACATTCCAATTCTCAAGCTTTGCCCTCTCCAAAAATTGGGAAATTACCGGCTTTGCCCCTAGTACACCTAATTTTTTAATAATATCCCCATTTTGAAACCTAATCACAAATGCCCCTTATAAAAACTCCCTATTGACAGTCTCTTCCTCTTCTTCCTTCTGCCAAACCTCACAGGAAATCCACATCCACCATAGAATCTTGCCTAACTCCATCTCCTCTTAGTTATATCTTCCAACTAGAAGTTGATTTCAACCTCAAGGTTGAACCCCAAATTTGGAACCATACCCTAGCCAAGGCGCGACTCGCTACCTCCATCGTCGGCCTCCACAACGAAGCTACAGTCGTGACTCGCCACCTCCGTCGCCGACTTCCACCACAAAGCCACAACACGTTCTTTGTCGATCTGCACTGTGGTGAGTTTTGATATTGGTTTTGTTTTTTTTTTTTTGGGGTTTCTGTGATTGAATGAGATTATTGGATGATTGCTTTCACTATTTTGAATGAGACATTAATGGGTTTCTGTTGTGGCTTGTTGTTTCTGTGATTGAATGAAATTTACCAATTATTTCTTGTGGTTGTCAAGCTCTTGGACTTGGATACACTGTTTTGTGCTTATGATTTGTCTTTGAAATAATGTATACACTGTTTTGTGACTGAGACTTGGACTTGCAGACCTCCTTGAAAGTGATGTATTCACTCTTTTGTGATTGTGATTTGTCTGTGAAATCACTTAGGTGATATATTAAATTAGGACTTCTGGCTTTTCTGAGCAACCTGTAAGAATACTTATAAAACTCATAGATGCTCTTTGAAATAACAGTAATGTGGGTTTTAACCGTAAGAAGCCAACATCATAATTTGAAACCTTTAAATATAATTCCTGCATGATTACTTCAATAACAACATAGAAAAACCAAAACTTAAAAACATGTGAATTAATTCGTAATTTTCTCATGTCAGAACACATGCTTTCATAAGTTTTCTTCTTGATTGCGTAAAGGTTTCAACAAAATAGCAAGACCGAACCCTAAACATGTTAATGATGCTCTGATACCACATGGAAGAATACATACAAAACTGAATGTTATCAGAAAACAAAAGATTATGGAGAGAATGGAGAGAAAGTATGAGATATGGAAATGAGATGGACAAATTCTGGGAGGTATAAGGAATTTTTTTTGTCTGTCACGACACTCATTTGTGAATATAATCCTTATACTACTTATGTATTGCAAATCTGGTGTCTTTTGCAACTCTATTGTACTGACATTGCTGATATATCTCTTGCATATTGCTTTGATCTTGCTGTTCATTTGGAATTTCCCTATTTTCATATTTTTAGTATTTTCAATATTTTCATAATTTACCTAAAATCCACTTTTGCTAATTTCCGAGCAAGGTATGTTTCCTGTTTTCCAATTTTATTGCCTACTGATTGTCCCTCTTTTGGTCTTGTATTGTATCTGTATTATAATGCTCTAATTAACACCCTAACTATATACCCAATTTCCATTATTATAATGCTCTAACTTCTGTTTTTGTTTTTGTTTTATTCTAATTTATGATATATATAAAAACATTTATTTCAATAGCTTAAAATTATTCATTTCAGTCATTTATGTATCAAACTTTGCTAATAGCATAATACTAGCAATATCTCCAACCAACCAATATATAGCCACATCTGATGCTATCAAACTTGCTAGGGAAGTGGATCCAACCGTTATGCTCCATTTATTGTAGTATGTTGGGCAACTCAATATGGGGGGTCTAAATCTAATTTATTGTTGCTAGTTGAACAATTTCAATCTTAGATGCAGCCAGTCATTGCTGTGGATGCCACACATTTAATGATTTGTGATTGAATGATTTGCTTCTAATATGCATTTTTGATCCATTTTATACAGTTGGAAGATTGTCTTATTTCAAGTGGGGGCATTCTTTTGGGGAGGAAATTGCTAACTTTCAGCTTAAATTCAGGTTTAAGAGGAGATCACCTGGAATTTTGCTGATAGATATAAAATGTGTTAAAATTCCCGATCAAGAGGAGATGTAAATTTTTTGTTTTCAGCCACTTTCTCATGTATATCTTAAGATGTAATTACATTGTTAGTTCATCAATTTATGAAAGTCAAGTTAAAAGGAAATTTGTCAATCTCTAGTTTCCATGGGTTTATTGTTTCCCCTTGCAAAGAAGAAAAAAATTACAAATGTAACCAAATTAGTGATTTAATTGGCAAATGCCATGGCAAATATGTACTGCATATGTATTGCACATGTATAGCCTTTTATGGCTTGTGTATTGCCCCCGTATATCCTTTTTTTTCCAAGTCTGTTGGAATAAATTTATAGGGGAGTATGAAGAATGTGTTGTGCATTGCCATTGTATAGCCTTTTATTACTTGTGTATTGCTACCGTATTGCCCCTGTATATATTTTTTTTTTCAAGTCTATGTTGGAATAAATTTATAGGGGGAGTATGGAGTTTGTGTATTGCCGTTGTATAGCCCTTTATTGCTTGTGTATTACAATTGTATTGCCCTCGTATATCCTTTTTTTTTTCCAAGTCTGTGTTGGAATAAATTAATAGGGGGGGAGGGAGTATGGAGTTTGTGTATTGCCATTATATAGTCATTTATTGCTTGTGTATTGCTACTATATTGCCCCTGTATATCCTTTTATTTTATTTTATTTTCAAGTCTTTTGGAATAGATTTATAGGGGAGTATGGAGTGTGTGTATTGCCATTGTATAGCCCTTTATTGATTGTGTATTGCTATTGTATTGCACCCGTATATCTTTTTTTTTCAAGTCTGTTGGAATAAATTTATAGGGGAGTATGGAGTTTGTGTATATCCCTCTATTGCCTTGGTATTGCCATTGTATATCCCTCTATTACCTTAGTATTGCCATTGTATTGTCCCCGTATAACCCATTTTTTCAAGCATGTGTTCCAAATCTACTTGAAAAAAGGATATACGGGAGCAATACAATAGCAATACCTAAGCCATAAAGGGCTATACAATGTCAATACAAAAACTCCATAATCCCACTATAATTTTATTTCAACACAGACTTGAAAAAATTGGATATATGGGCAATATAATAGCAATACACAAGCAATAAAGGCATATACAATGGCAATACAAAAACTCCATACTCCTCCATTAATATCATCCAACACAGACTTGTAAAAAAAAGGTTATACGTGAGCAATACAATTACAATACAAAGGCAAAAAGTAGCTATATATACACATAATCACAGTATAATATAAATAAAAGTATTTTTCCATTGCATACGCTTGCGAATAAATAAAAACAACAGATTCAAGACTGAAATTTCTCAAGTAAATTGAACTCAATTTCATTCCATGAGGACTAAATAATTACATGGTCTGTCTGATTCACAAATAGTTCCTCAATTACATGTTTTTTTACCTTATAACTACAGTACATGATAAACACATAATTATTACAATTTCTATCCCTAATCTATATTTGTTAGTACTTTGTTTTATTGATTTTTGCACCAATTAGAATGTTCCATTGCATTTTACGAATCCATTTGCACTTCATTGAAATATAGGCTAATTCATTTGAATTCTCTATTTGGTTATCTCTCTTTGAAGTGGCACCCAAACTCTTATCAATTGTGCAATAATTGTTACATTCTATTCTAATATCATGATTTTATATAGGTGCATGTTGGAGCTATTAAGGAGAAAGAATGTGCATGCATGTGAAGCAAAAAGAAAAGAAAGAAAAGAAAAGAAGCCAATTCCAGTCCATTTCCAAAAGTTAACTTGTAAGGCCCAAAACGTACACTTGTACTGCTCATATGGGAATACATTCTTCATAAAAGTTGTTTCAATGAGTGTCTATTATGACATATCCAGATTTGAACCCCATTGGACACATATTGAAACCTCAGGCCTTCCTACACCAAGCCTGGTTCAGAAGAATCGTTTTTTCCAGCAACCCAAAAAAAACCCACATGGGTTGGCAGCAAAAGGCAGTCATAATTGAACACCTTTGAAAACCCATGTGAAGAAAGCTTGAGGTGCAGCAGCTAAAGAATTGAAAAGAATGCATGAAGTGCCACACCCATACCAAATGAAGAAAGGAAAAGAAGTATGGGATGGAAGCAAACAAAAAAAGATTTGATTCCAACCACACTAACTTAGACAAGATGAAGTGAGAGTTATGGATTGTATTGGAATAGGAATGGTGGTATTGGAATTCATCATGATGTTCCTCCTTCTTAGCCCTATAAATAGAGAAGTCTTCAAGCTTCAAAACACACCAAGCTCATAATCTTCTCTTGAGCTTTCTCTCCTTCCTCCAATTCTTCTAGTTCTAAATTTCTGTTTTAGTTTTATTTTATGGGGAACTAAGTCCCTAGCTAAGGCTAGGGGGAAAGCTTTTAATATGAGTATGTAATTTTCATTAGTTTGATCCAAACTTAAGCTTTAATGTGATTTTGTAGTTTTTGTTAAAATGGAATTTGTAGTTTTCTTTTTTTTAATTAATTGATGAATGTTTGATAATCTATTTCATGAGTTCAATCATGTTTTTCCCATTGTGTAGTAAAAACTTTCATACTTTTAAAAGAGAAGAGAATTACTAAAGATTAATAGAGTTTTGATGAAGTTTATTTTTTGATAGTTTGTTGCCAATGGTTTCAAATCACTAGAGACCAAACTTGTGGGATATGGGCCGTATCTCGTACTCTACCAATTGTTGCTTCACCTTCTCAAATTCATCCATCATCTTCCTCTACAGCGGAAACAAAATAAAGCAATGTCAATATGTACATATATAAATATGTATATACAAAGTACTACAAAAGACAAATTGGTATTAATGAGGTACATCTTTGATCTGCTCTATTGGAACCATCACTTTCCTTTTATTGCTATATATGCAGATGCGCAAAAGCACAAACAAGCCTAATTTAAAATCTCCTACTTATGTATCAAGAAAAGACAAACTTAAACTCAAAGCAGACTAAGTTTCTTATAAAAATAGAGTTCATTGTTTTTCGTCTCAATTTCATTTGCAACTTATAACTCACATGGTATCCAAAATTTCAAGCAGTGCATGACAACTCAATCAAGTTAACTCCAGAACAATGAGAGAACAATAATATTAATCAATGAAAGAATTATGAAAGAGGCTGATTATTGATCAACAATATTAACTCCAGAACATAGACACCACAGAGGTATGCAGTACAATTTACTTTCATTCAATTTCTACACAAAAATAATCTTTTAGATTGATATAGCCATTCATTGCAAACTGAAATTTCACAGCCATGAGAATAATACGAAGAGGAAGAGTATCATATCACCTCAGAATTGGAAAACGTCTAATGGACGAGGAAAAGCAAACCTACTAACCACAAGATGAAAGGCCTTACTGCTCAAGCTTGATCAGCGCACATCTACATGGACGTTAAACCCCGTATGATCATATTGCTTATTTTTTCTATTCTCGGCATTGGCTTTGTACCATTTATGTTTTAACAGCATACATGAATTGTTCCAAATTAAAAACTTCAAACCGCAGGTCCTAATTATAGGCAGTAAATTATGACTTAATGAAAAATAGCCATTGGAGTTGGATCTAGGGAGCTGAAAGCATCACATGACTCAAAGAAACCAAATTAGGGAACCACGTACAACAGAGGCAGTAGTGCTAGCTAGTACTGCAGGGCAGGGTAGGGCAAGGCATGGCAAGGGACATTTGAATGCAAATGCTAGAGATATAGACCCTTTCTATGTTTCTTTTGTTTGCTCACGTAATTTTTTACCATATCACAGCCCTTAGAATTCCTGCAAAATAATAACATGAACTTTATTTCTCAATTTCACAATGACACAAAACAATGTAGTATTAACTTGTTCACAACACAAGTTAAATGGCGATGTCCAAACGAAAGAAACTCAAGACATGACACGAAAGCAGAAAAATAAGAAAATAAATCTAATAGAATTCCAAATATCAAATGACACAACCAAGTATCCATTCACTATAAACTGACATAATATGGCACTTGTGTAAGTCTGCATGTAAAAACAGGGACATTTCTCAAGCATTGTTAAAAGGTAATCAAACTAATGTCAACGGTGATCTAACAAAACCATTATGCACTGTAAAGACATCTTCGTAAACAAATTATAATAAAACTCACATATTCTTCCTTCCATTTAGATAGGTTCATTGGGTCCTCCTAGAAGTTCACCTTTAAGTACATACCATGAGAATTGTCCCAATTGGTTTGTATCTCAAAGAAAACCATAGTGTGCTCATTAAGGTGATTCATCGAACACCTGCAGGCTATTTTTTTCATGCACTCATCAACTCAGCCTAACCAAACAAATAGGACCATATATTCAGAACAAGCAACTAAGCTTGATAAATAAAACGATGTACCAAGAATTTGGATTTTGAGCAATTTTCTAGGCCATTATATGAAATTGAAACAAGCAGAAGAAAACCCAAATAACAGACTGGTATGAAAGTAAAGGCGAAAAGCTGACCTGGGTACCTGGGACGTCATTTCTAGGTATATGGATTTCAGGAATGCTGAAGAAAATTGAGAAATTTGTTGAATCGGAGGGAAAGAACGGCGGTTGAAATAGGTGACAGAGAGGGAGAGATGGAGGTGGAGAACAGCGACCGAAAGAGAGAGAGTGAGGTCGCCGTCGCCGATGTGGGTTCTGAGGAGGTGACAGTTGCCGTCGCCGATGTGGGTGAGAGGGAGAGAGAAAACAGAAGAGAGGAGAGGTGAGTGAGTGAGCAAGTGAGAGTGAGAGCTCTGAGCTCAGAACCACCAAAAAGAGTGACATAAGGGTGATACGCAGGCGTTAGGGACATTTGTGATTAGGTTTCAAAGATGGGGATATTAGTGAAAAAAACATGTGCGCCCGGGGACAAAGCCGCTATTTCCCCAAAAATCCTAAAACCAAAACCTCCACCAAAGTTCCAATCTTTCCCGAGTTGTCTTCTCTCTCCTTTAAACCCTAGCACAAGACCACCCCTTTTTCTCTGCCCCATTCTCTTCCTCTGCCTCCATGGCTACAGCCACTCCAGCTCCTACAGCTTCCACAACCAAACCCACCAAATCCATCACCAAGACCGTGCGGAAAGCTGTAAATGCCCTCCTCAAATGGCGAAACTCCAAGTTGCAGACCGAGAAACCGGATCTCTTAGAATCCGACGAGTTCGCCTATCTCGTTCTCACCCTTAAGAAAATCCCACCAAAGGCTCGCATAAACGCCTACAAAGTCCCTCTCCCAAATCCTCTCCATTCCCAACTCTCCGAGCTCTGCTTGATATACGACGACGGACCCAAGTCCAATCTCACCAAGGACTTCATCACGAAGAAAATCAAGGCCGAGAACATACCCATCTCGAAAATTTTGAAGCTTTCGAAGCTCAAGACGGATTACGTGCCCTTTGAAGCCAAGAGGAAGCTGTTGTATTCTTATGATATGTTTTTGGCTGATAGGCGGATTGTGCCTTTGCTTCCGAAGTATTTGGGGAAGCAGTTTTTTAAGAAGAAGAAGATTCCGGTGCCTGTGGACTTGGAGCACAAGAATTGGAAAGAGCAGGTTGACAAGGCATGTGGGTCGGCCTTGTTGTTCTTGAGTACCGGGACGTGCAGCGTGGTGAGGGTAGCGAAGGTGTCAATGAGCGTTGATGAGATTGTGGAGAATGTGCTTGCGGCGATTAATGGGATTGTGGAGATTGTGCCTAAGAAGTGGAGGGATGTGAGGTCATTTCACTTGAAGTTTCTGGAGTCGCTTGCATTGCCGGTTTACCAGGCCGTGCCCGATTTGACATTGAAGATTGAGGGAGCTAAGAGTGATGAGGAAGGTAAGGAGGAAGTGAAAGAGGTTGTTAAGTCTGAGAGTAGGGGTTTGAAGAGTGAGAAAGTGAGTAAGAAGAAGGGTAGAATTCATGAAGTGAGGTATATGGATAGCAATGCTGGTGAGGTGCTTGATGATGATGAATTGGTTGGTGATGGGGATATTGGAGAAGGTAAGCAAAGTGAGAATGAAGAACCGGGTAGTGGTGAATTGGGGAAGAAGAAGAGGAAGAAGGAAAAGGTTGTTGGTGAGTCTAAGGGTGACAAAAGGTTGAAGAAATCAGCTAAGGTGAAAGATGATGCTGAATTAAATGGGGAAAAGGGTGAGTTTAACAATGAGAAACAGTTAAAAAAGTCGGTTAAGGTGAAAGATGGAGATGATGAGGTTCCTGTCGAGAAACAGTTGAAAAAGTTGGCTAAGATGGTAGATGAAGATGATGCCACTATCAAGCATAAGAAAGATGGGTTGTCTTCGAAGGGGAAGAAAAAAGATGTTACAAAGAAGAAAGCAGATGATTTGCCAGTCAAGGGCGAAGAGTCTGTTGGAAAGAAGGAGAAGAGGAAGAGTGAACATGAGAAGTTGAAGAGCGGAGAAGCAAAGCTGAAGACGGCTAAGAGAAGTAAGAAAGCAACGGAGTAATTCAGCATAGCTGGCTACAGACGGTAGACAGTCTTTGCAGCGGGATTCAACACATCTGAGCAAGTATGGCTGTCCATGTTGAGTCTGTCTGGCAGAAATTTTGATTGTTCAGTATTTTATTGTGGTATTGATGTTATGATATTTTTTTTAGTTTATGAATTGACTTTGCCTATTTAATTTATGTCTTCGTTATGGCGATCATACAAAATGGTTATGTTTCTATGGTTGTGTATGGCGATCATTCTGAGTCTATTACTTCCCATCATGGGTGAATTTGCATCTCTATTTCCAAGAGGGTGAGACCTTGAAACTTCAACAAATGAAAATGAGTTGTGAAAACAATCTCTGTATAATTTTTGGGAGTTTGTTTCCTTATTTGCAATCAGTAGTAGTTACAAGTGATCTGGAGAAGTGATGGCAGAATGATGACAACTAATTGAAAATTATTTTTTATTAGCAAATCCGTTCCTTTGTTTATAGTTCATTCCATTAGCTACTTGATGATCGACAAATCACTTATGATTAGAGCATGAATAATTCAAGCATGTTAACAAGGTCCCTTGATGATGTGCTATTACAAATCAACAGATCATCACAGCATTTCTTTGCATCATCTGGTTCTTCATTTTAAGTGCAGCAATGTGTAGCTTAATATCATGCAAGCCTTTCAAATTGATTGAACTGCTCCTTCATACCTGATGTATTGAATTAGAATAATTGTGGAATGTATATAGGAGGTGTAACTCAGTCAATATACCTTGTCCATGAGTTGTCTGCTGATTTTGTTCAAGGTCTGCAAAACCCTACTCTGAGCACTGTTATCTCTTTTATCTGATGAACTCTCGCAGACAGAAGTATGGGGTTAACATTTAATATCGTTTGAACTCTGCATCGTATTACTACTGATACTTCCTTAAATCTTCTCATCTCTTGATTACTTTGAAGTAGTCAAATGCATAAATCTTGCAACTTCAAGCAGGAGGGAACCATATATGCGAGGGAACCATATATGTGTTCTTTATGCAGCCACCTTGTCTGTTTTGGTATTTCAGGGAATGGTTTTGTGTCTTGGTTAAGAGTTCAGACTGAATGGACTGACTTTTGCTTTCTTTTCTTCACAAATCAACATGGATTGCTTTCTCATAAATTTATTTATAAAAAAAAAAACCATGGATTGTTTACAGAGAAATTGCATTTGTAATGAGAGTTAACCCTCTAGCTTGGTAGTATTCTATGCTTACAAATACCAGAAGGTTGGTCAACATGTGAGTAAATTCAGTTGCAAGGTCCTATCTGAAGGCATCATTGTGCTCACCTTAGAACAGATTCATTTGCAAGATCCTATCTGAAGGCATGCTCCCAAAAAAAAAACCAATTTGAACACAGGGCAGCGCTTAATGCCAATCAACCTAAGATTTTAGTTTGGTTTGTGATAACAGGACACAGGTTAAGATATTTACCATTTTGACTTTACATATCACCAAGATAAAAAGATGAGTATCTAAGGTTTCTAAGAAATCTGTTTGGATCAGGTTGGCATGATGTGGAGTGAAGCTTTTACAGAAGCATACTAGGCTCAATCACAATCACAGCCATTCTTGTAAATGACGTTTACCTCAGAGTGCTTTAGAGTATCATCTTGCACTTGAGATCCTTATTCAATTCCCCTTTGCCAAATATTACTTTTTAATTTTAAAAAAAATACAACCCTGTTTTGGTTTAATGGTCAATAACATTATGATCTTAACCACAATATTAAGAGAGGAGTTGTTTCTCTTTTAGAATTATTATACCAAAAAGTAAAGTGATAATACTAATAAACAATTAGGTGTTTCTTCTGCTTACAATTTAGATGGCAAGGGAAAAGAAAGATAAAATTTTTTTTAAAATTTTAAAAAAGTTATTGGTCCGACTGAAATTACTGTAGAATGGACTGGACTGGACTGAAGGCCAGCCGACAAGAAAATTTGGCGGGAGGGGCAGGAGAGGAGCAGTCAAAGTTTAAGCCTTCTCGTGATTCGTGCAAATCCTAAAACCCTCCTTAAACCTACAGACACAGCACAGAAGCACCCACGGATAGACTATATGTATTGTCGAGAGAGAGAGAGAGAGAGAGAGAGAGCGAATCAAACCAAGTGAAAGTGTAAAGGAAAACAAAAAACCAAAAAGCAAGAAACAATGGTAGCTGCAACTCCAACCCAATCTCTTTGTCATGGCTCTTCTTCCTTGTCCTGGAGGCACATCTTATTGGAAAGCTGTCTCCAATCCTCAAGGTAACTGCTTTTGGGTTTCTCATTTAATGCACAAATTTATTTCTCTTCTTTTGTTATTGTTTTTTTTTTTTTTCCGCTGTGTTGCTGTTGTTTTGGGTTACATTGAACCATCCAAGAGGGAAAGTCCTCAACTTGAATTTATTAGTCACATTGGTGCTCATGGGTTCGATTGAGTTAATGGGTTTCATTCTCTGGTCCTAAATGATGATTTTTTATTATTCTTCTGTAAGATTTATAAAAGGAAGAAGGAAAGATTCACATATTTGGGTCCTTTTGAAATTTACATTTCCAGCAAGTTTTTCTCTTGTTTCATATGGGTGTGTATATATCTTTGTTGCTTAGATAATTTTGATAACCCTACTGAATGCTGAACAATGTTGCATTCTGAAATCTGAATTTTTGGTGTTTAATGGGTTCCATTATTCCTAGTATTATGAATCTTTGTTGTATGAGTCACTGTTGCAAAGTGGTGTGGGTTTCTTGAGTTAACGGTTTGAGAGACAGAGAAATCACTTTACAAGTACAAATCAAATGCCAATGTGATAGTAGCTCCTTTGCCTTTCAATTCAAAACTCTGTAACATGCTATTTCATGACTGAAAGCGCAAAGAACTTTAGGAAACATAGAAAGCCTTGCCTAATAATCTCTACAACACTGGAGCACCCCTTTTCATCTACCCGCATCAAAGCATGTAGTTTGAAACAAGGTGAGAAGGAGCAGTGGAAATTAATATCTGCACCAAGGACATCTGATACAAATAGCTCTGCAAAATTTGAAAGGGAAGAGATATATATCTGCTAAGGACCTCCAGGCCACCTCCTGGCTACCCTTATGTACAAGTTATGTGGTTAGAATCACTGTTATGACTAGAATTAATTACCTTGACTGCAATAGATAATGGAGAACAAATGCATCTTGTCAATAGTTTTCAACTTGATTTGAATATTAATGGTGTACAGTGGTTTGAGAGATAAGAATAGTTACAACGAGCTTAGTGCCCAGTGCTTTTTTCCCTTTTCTTTCCTGGAGGTGGTTCTTGGTACTGAGTAAATGGCATCAGATCAGAAATTCAATCTTGGGCTAAAGAAAGCGATAAAAAGCCTGTGAGGTTTCAAGCGAAACAGAAAGTTGGAGCTGGCGACAAAGGTCTGTTTCTGTGATGAGGTCCTGAAGTAACCTGATTAAATTTATCAGGCTTCAATAATTGCCTCCATTTATGTCATTATGAGGTTTTTCTGAAGAAGTCGTCCATAGGCTGGTAGAGCTGAAGGAATAAGAGGTTAAGTCTAGAGGGGCCATACCTGAAAACTGATGCCTTGATTAAGATAGATTCCTATCAGTCTTGGTTCCCCTGTTCTCATTGTGTGTTTATATGGTCTTGTAGGGAAAAGGGAGATGTTAGGCTTGAAGTCATGGGACTGTTTTTATTTACAACTGAAACTTATTAAGAAGGAAGAACAATGTTGCTCGAAGGTTACTTTTCATGTGAATTGTGAGTGAGAAAATAGATGGCTACAAAATTGATATATGAATGTTGCAAACCTCAGAGTTATTTCATGAAAGGCATCATTGTTTCCCTCTTAAGTCTGGCTAAAAAGTTGGTTTGGGTGCATTTGGCTTTTCGACTGTTGTGTGGGCTGCAGATTGTGCTTTTGTTAAATTTGAGGAAATAATATTTTCTGTTTATGGTAATTGGAGTTGTCTCATTCAATTCTGTTGTCTTCAATGCCAGAGGTAGCAGTGATGCATGCTTTATGGACTTTGAATGGTTCAAGTTTCATACAGGAGTGAGCTCGCAATTCTGCACATCACTGCTGGAGTACATAAAGCGATAAGTGGTTTGTGGAGTAGGGAATGAAGCTATTGGTCCGTTGTGCATCTAAAAAATGTTACAATTTGATAGTTCTTGTGGAAGAATTCAGAGATCTTGACGTATTTTGGATTGTAGTCGTTGTACTGAAACTCTATGGTCATTCCATAGGCTGATTCTGTAATTGTATCGACTACGTTGTATCTGATTCATCGTGAAGAAATCTAAATTTTATTTTCCCCTTCTGAGTTCTCTTTTGCTATATATTGGAATGTGACTCTTCTTTTTTGTAATCTTAATTTCCATCTTGACTGTTCTTTTTTTTGTGGTGAGATGTATTGTAAATCATGAACTAGAGTTTGAAAATCAAGTTTTTCTTTGTCCTAAAAAAAACCCTGGAGATTAAAGCTTGCCAAATTTGAAATTGAAGATTAGAGACACTCTAGCAGATAAAGATGAAACAGAGAGGAAAGAGCCATGAGAATGGAGAAATTATGCAGACTGGGTTGGCCAGGCACTTATATTGGTGCTGCTGTGGAAATCACCAGTTGAGTAATTGAAATGTCAGAGCCACAACAACCACTTGACAAAAGCTAATGTGAAGGTGTGTGTTAAGAGAGAGAAGTGAGAATTGAAACTAGTGCACACAGGTTAGAGATAAGAGGCTCTGTAGACATCAGAAGATTTATATGTTGGGTTTTGTTTTCTAAGTGGTCCTCCCCTGTTCCTCTTTAACTGTTTGCAAGTCTGGTAGAGGAATAGTTCCTGCGAATATAGAAGCAAAAAGCATATGGACAGAAAGATGACATCTTTCGTTTTCGTTACATAAATGAGCTTAGACAGATAGAGTGTAGGACTGGAAGAGAGCTGTTGAAGTTGAAGTTTGAGGCCTTGGAAAATTAGCCGTTGACTCTGCAGGGACAGCCCCAATTGTCCTTGGCATAAGCTTCTTTCAGAGCTGGATACAGGTTTTCTGGTGGTGGTCCTGATCCCTCTCTGTAGATACCTACACAGCAGATTGCACTTGACACTCGTGAGTGAGTTAATGTGTAGAATATCGATATTTAAATTCCTTTTGTTAACTTAAAGTTGTGGCAAAGCGACAAACTTCCTGCATCAATTGTGGATAATGCCGTTGCTATTTGCTACCAGTCAAAGTTTCAAATGCTAAAGCCAAAAGCTTTCTTCATGAATATTGTGCTCGTGACTATTTCTGTCCTACCCAGTAACAGTTGTGATCTGGGTTACAAGAATTAAGCAGGAAAAGAAAAAGAAAGTGTCCCAAAGATTGCATCTTTATATTGATATTACATATGCAGGACTGGTTTGGATTTTGAGTATTTTTGCTCAAGGAACTGGGTTGCTGTAATCCTGAATTTATTAAGCTCAATTTTGACATGAAACCCAATGACATTGTTGGAGAAATTTGAACTATTATCATCTAATGATTTGGTCTCCGTTTCTATGATTTAGAGAGCTAGCTTGGATCATTTGGCATCTGGTGGCCTCTCTAGAAGAAATCTAGACCCTCGAATGCTTGCATTCGCGTGGGAGACCTTTTGGGAACTTAGGACGGTCAGTGCAGTAGTCATAGACCATGAACTTGCGTTGCAACCATCGAAGCCTGTTCCGGCCTGCAGCATTAAGCCCTTGGTTCTGCCATGCTGAGGAATTGGTAGATGTAGAGCAAGATGATGATGGTGATCCTTGTGACCCAAGGCAAGCATTGATGTTGAAGTTTCTGTAGGAGGCAGAGAAAGGAGCGTGGCTCCAGTCAGTCTTCACACGCCCACCTTGTGTAGCCCAGTCATCAGCATTCCAGAAAGTTGCATAAATCTTCATGGATTGGTTTTTAGGAAATGGAAGGCGAAGTGATTCCAAGTTGTTGAACACTCTAATTGGACTTCCATCCACTAAGAATCTGAAACAGTTGCACATGCATGTGTATCACAAAGTTTTCAATCAACCCATGTTGTAAATAGGAAGAGGTTAAAATGAGAAACTTCTAAAGAATTTAATTTAAAGGTAAATATTGTTTGGTATTGGATACCAATATACAATGTCAATATTGGCCGATAACGTTAGTCTACCAGTACATTTCTAATAGAGGTGGGCCATATATGACCCTTATTAGAGATGTGGTTTACATTGTGGTTAGAAATACGGTCCATGATGGGGGAGTGTTACTTACATAATGCGCTTGCTGTTCCAAACAACGGTGTAGGTGTGGAAGTCCTTTGTGGGATCAAACCATAGGTGGAATTGTTGTTCCTTGGACCCCTGCCCTTGGGCGTAGACATTAGTATGGAGAGTGTAGGGCTCCCCAGTGGAGTTGCCCAGAAACTCCAAGTCAATCTCATCATGATTTGGACCTGAAGAAGATAACTGCATAGGCATGCATATGTTTCAATAATTAGCAATGCATGCAGTGCTTATGCAAATATATACAGAACTAATTAAAGGGCATCTCAGAAAAATTAGAGCAGCACATGCAATCACAATGGAAGAGCTATAGGGATTGAGAGTTGTTACATAGAATGTGGTGACAGTACCAGCTGAGTTCCCAGGTGGCATCTTCATTTGCACATCAAACCTTCCAAATATATATCCATTTTTGGACTGGAAACCAGCGCCAGAAACCTTGTCAAGGGAGAGTGTGACAAGTTTTCCTTCCTCAAGTATCTTAAGATGTTGATCGCCGAACATAATGTCAAAGTCTTGATAGAAATTACCAGCCAAGGCAGCCATGGCCTTCAGAGAAGTTATGATCAAAGAAATAAAAAACATCAATGAGACCTTATGTGAAGACATTTTGGTTTCGTGATTGTACACAGAGCTAGCACGAGAATTAGCTTCGAAGAGAGTTGATTGGTTGGGAGGATACTTTATATAAACAAGAATTTGAAAGCTACTCAGAAATAAAAACAGTTCAGAAAATGTAGAAATGTTGCTTATAAATTTCTGAAAGTACTTGAAAAGAGGTTCCTAGATATAAAGATAAAAAATATTGAAACTGAGTATACAATCTAAATTTTCAGATTGTACCTCAGTTTTTCAAAAATTATTTTGAATCACCATGACTTTGTTTATTTATGTATTGTGGGTGCTTCCTGCGTTTGAACTTTGAACAGATCAGCTATATTTAGAATATCGATTTGAAATTACAATCTGGTTTCCTTTTTCAAGTTGAACTTGTGGCACAGCGCCAAACTAGGTACATGTTTTTTGGACAATGCTGTTGCTACCGGTCAACGAATGCATGGGATGTCTCATTGAATTACCAAAACTTTCTTCTTCATCCTCATGACTATATTTAGGATACCAATTAGTACAAGTTATGATTTGGATCATGACAAACTACTGTTACGGTCGAAAGATTAATTAAACGGTCGAGTTAGGATCAACTAGTAGTTAGACACAAATTTGAAACCTGACCACTGTTTCATGACTCATTGAACTCTATGTAATCCCAAAAACCCAATCCTTCATTTCTCAAATGAACATGTTTAAAATGAAAGTTCAACTGTTTTATCATTTAACAATCAAGTGTTTGATTCTAAGTTCAGGATTACAATAAAAGAATACAAGGACAAGGTATGGAATGAAAAAAAGCAAATTCATATGAAACTACAAAATCTATATTTGCAGAAGGAATGAATGAAAGAATATTTCATAAAAATGAACTAATTACACAAAAGAATGATGAGGCTGCACATTGGAACAGAGAATATGTGATCAAGTGGCATGATCTGGATGCATAGCTAGAGCCTCGACCGTCTGCATTCAGCTGGGAGGCCTTGTGGGAAGCGTTTGATGTCAGAGCAGTAGTTGTAGACCATGAACTTTTGTTGCACCCATCGAAGCCGGTTTCGGCCTGCAGCATCAAGCCCTTGAGTCTGCCATGCACTCTGCTCTGTTAAGGAGTTAGTAGATGTGGTGGAGGCCTGGAAGTTTCTGTAAGAGGCAGTGAAGGGAGCTTGTGTCCAGTCAGTCTTCACAAGGCCACCTCTCGTTGCCCAGTCATCTGCATTCCAGAGGCTTGAGTAAATCCTCATGGGTTGGCTTTTGGGAAATGGAACTCCAATTGTTTCCAAGTTTTGGAACACTCTGATTGGAATGTTGTCCACCAAGAATCTGCAGTTGCATATTAGAAAGTTTCTTAATTAATAATTGATGTTGTAATTTGTAAAGTAAAAGAGGTTAATTATATATTAATTCAATAAGGTGGTAAGTGTTATTTACATAATCCTCTGGCTGTTCCAGACAATGGAGTAGGTGTGGAAGGCCTTTGTGGGATCAAACCAGAGATGGAATTGTTGTTCTCTGTTTCCTTTTCCTTGGCTGAACACATTGGTGTGGAGAGTGTAGGGATCTCCAGATAAGTTTCCCAAAAACTCAAAGTCAATCTCATCATGAGTTGGACCCTCGGAAGATAACTGCATACATTCATGTGTTTCATTTCATAAATTAGCAATGCAACAATTAAAATTTATAAAAAAGAAAATTTAAGGACAAATTAAGACTAGAGTGTTATATATCTTATTCACATTGGAAGAGGGTTGAGGAGTTAAAACTTACATAGTATGCAGTGACAGTGCCAGCTGAGTTGCCAGAGACCAGCTTGATCTGCATGTCAATTCTTCCAAACAAGTACTCATTTTTGGATTTGAAACCAGACCCAGAAGCCTTGTCAAGGTTAAGTGTGAGAAGCTGTCCTCCGTTTAGTATCTTAGCGCGCTCATCGCCGAATGTTACATCAAAGTCTTGAAAGAAATTACCAGCTGAGGCAGTCATGGCCATCAGAGAAGTTACAAACAAAGAAACCACAAGCACCATTGAGACCTTAGAACAAGAAGAAGAAAAAGGCATTTTGATTTGGTGAGATTGTAGACAGAGCTAGCAAGAGAAGAGAATTAGCTTCAAAGAGAAATGAGTGTTGAGTTGAGGCTGTTTGTGTTTGATGGTATCATTTGAGCTGTGAAGCTCTTTATATATGAAGTGTTGGGGGGCTTAGAGTACATATGCCGCGTTGAAGAGGAAAGCTGGCAGCATCTGAATAATAAGTTGAAAACTGGCAACAGGGTTTGCAAATTAGACAAGACTAGCTCCATATGGAAGCTGCCTGGCTTTATTTGGGTTAGGCGGCGCCCCACCAATTGACTACTAGCATAGCAATGCCAAACTTGATATTTTTATAATATTAATAATAAATATATAAAGTGCTGTGCTGGAGACAGTTTTGCAT